AGTTATTATTTTAATAATATTATTATATTCTATATCATAATTATATAATATATTATATAATAATAATTTTTTCTATTATATTAAATATAATAATAAATATATATTATTTTATAATTATATATATACATTATATTATAGTATAATATAAAATAGTTATAATTTTTAACTATTAACAGTAATTTAATCTCATAATTTATCAAACGCTATTACACTAATTTTAAAATCAACACAGCTATTATAATTATAGTTTATCAAATACTCAACTACTTTTTATAATAATTATTTATTCTTTTAGCACAACTAAAAATAATTTTTTTAAAATCTACAACACTACCAAATTAGGCATTTATCTTTATCTCCGTCCGTCCGATCCTCAATTATTATTCCTCATTCCCATCCGTGCGATCCCTGCCCTTACGGAGATTATTGCCGCCTCTACTCTCACCATAGACCACTCTACACGATAATGTTTTAGCCTAATGGGTCCCACACCTAAAGTAAGGTTACTTTTGGCCAATTGTTAGTGGAGTATTAAATACACTATGATTGAAAAATAATGATAAAAATAAATGATATTATTATTTTTAAACACTATTATGATAAATTATTACATTTTTAATAAAACTGATCTATTGAAAAATAATGATAAATTATTATTTTCTCTTTTTGGTCAAAACTATAACTATTATGTTTATCTTTAAAGTAGAGTAATGTTGTGGAAAAAATACTATTTATTACCATTCCAGCACTTGTGCATCGAAACTAGTTTGTTTACTGGTATCTAGAGGGTTGAGTGGGATGAGATTCAAGAAAAAATTGTGACTTCGATCTCGTATTGTATAAAAAAAAGTGTTTAATAGTATTTTTTTTCTTTCCTTTTTTAAACTTACCGCCAAATGAATTTGAACTCTACTTTAAGGTAGAATTTGATGAGAAATTAACGTTAAATAATACATCAATAACGTCCAACAGTAATTTCGGATCAAGTAATTTTATTTCTCGATGTCTTGTGGTTATGTTCTATTCATCTATTGGCACTTACCAATGATGATAAATAAAAATACTTTATATCATGTTTAATCAACTGATTATTTTTAATAGCATTAAGGAAAATATTTTAAAAATAATATTGATTTTGAATGTGTATATAATGTGAAGCATTTGCCTGGAAGATTAATCTTAGAAAGCGTAATGATAACAGAAGCTTTATTAATTATAGAAGGAAAATAGTCATCTTGATAGCAAGAGCTTTTATTCATTAGAGCATTAACAACTTAAACCTTAAGGAAACCCCTCTCCTTGAGGAGTTCAACAGTGTCCCTCAAACTCACTTCCAAAGGAGTGAAATTAATTCCCAAGCTTTCTGCTTTCTCCTTTGATATTTGGTATGTTAGCATGGCAGATTTGTCATCTTCACATCTGCAAAATTATGAGGATAAAAGCATGAACTAGTTTGTTGCTCAAGAAGCTTTATCACATATGACATAGTAAAATTCAATTACACGAGACTCTATGATATGATCACACATAACTCCTTCTTTTTTTTGTTTTCTGACTTCTGTTTGTTTTAACATAGATTCCAACGAAGCGGGGTTAAGCAAAAATTAGAGAGTCAGTGGGAGTTTTAAGGGACGTTTGGAAGGGGGATTCGTGCCATGATTCGCGGGGTTAAGCAAAAATTAGAGAGTCAGTGGGAGTTTTAAGGGACGTTTAGAAGGGGAATTCGTGCCATGATTTGAATCATGGATCATGGTTCGTGGCACGCTATAATATTTTCTCTTACAAAAAACACACGTAAAATGAGAATGGTTCTGAATAATAATTCTGAATCCATGAACCAAACGTTTCCTTAAACTTTGGGAGACAAATTGGACCCTTATGTTCAGGAGGTATAGATGAGATTAACTTACTTTTGAGGAATGCTTAAAGCGGGGTAAAGTCGTCTTAAAAGGTTCAAAGCCTCGGAAATGTGCACAACATTTCCAACTACACAACATCTTCCACTAGCTGAAGCAACTTCAAATGCTTGAATATGCGCCAACGCAACATCTCTGATATCAACAAATCTATAGACTGAGTTGGGAAATGTTTGAGCTCTTCCTACAAAAGAAAACAGAAGGTAAAAAAAAAAAAAAAGAAAGAAAAAATCAGCATACAGTTATCATTGGACCATTCTAAAGTGGTGGAAAAGCTTGTAAAACCCTCTGTGCCTTGAGATATTTCCCTAAAGAACATCAAAAATTTCAGGTCAGTCTTGAAAGGTTGATGTGTCCAAAGCCTTCTCTATTTCTACATTAGTAAGACATGTAAAAATGGGCCAGGCCAGCGGATGGAAAATGGGGCCCAGTTTGGCCGAATAGGCCGATGGGCCCTATATGGACCGAGCCTGGCACCGGCCCCAATGGCTGGTTTGTTAGGCCTGGCCCATTCTGAAAACTCTTACATTACTAGACACTTGGAAGTAAACAAAGTAAGCTGGTAATGTTCTGAAATGTACCATTTACTAGGTTCAGAATCGTCTCCACAGTGAGATTAAGTGTAGGCTGTAAGAAAGGACCAATCACAAAACCTGGATTTATAGCTACCAAGTCAATCCCATTCTCTTTTGCGAATTTCCAAGCAACCTCTTCAGCTAAGGTTTTAGAAAGCACATACCAAAGCTGGAGCAGTAAAATTCATCAATCTTTTGTCTAAGCAATACTGGACTTTTACATGAAGGAAAAACTTTCAATGGTTTATGATGGTAACAACGAAAACAAACAAAAAAAAAAAGGGATAAGTTGAGAAACAAAAATTCCATTCATGTCAAACTTCCAACCAAACTATTTTACCTGAAACCAAAGAAAGAATTAAAGTTTATTAGGGTCCTACAAGCTTTACCAATATGAATCAAACTAAACTCAACACAGTATTGGCTTTAAGTGTCACTTCTTCTACTTATCCTATAGCATATTCCTAGTATAATTATCCTTCATATATATAAGCCTTTGTAAAACTATTGAATTGGAAAAGAAACTAAAGATAGAAGTTGAAAAGTGATATAAAAAGCGCAAAGAAATCACCTTTGAGTTCTCACAGAAAGCGGGATCCGAAACCCAAGTCTCATCAACTAGTACATCTGGTGTGAGAGGTTTCCCATTGAACAAAACTGCAGTTATGGAAGATGTCAAAACAACCCTCTTTAGAGAAGGTACTTTTGTACACGATCTGAGAACGTTGAGTGTTCCCTTCAATGCAGGGTCAATCAGTTCAACCTGGTATATGGAGGAAATACTTGTAATTCTTCACTAAAATTTGAGGGGAAAAAAAAAACAAAGATTTTTTTATTATTTATTTTTTGTTTATAAAATTACATGAAGGGTTCAAAAGAAAATTGGCTAACCTGTGGATTAGTGGGAGAAAGATTCACAGGAGAAGCTGTATGAAAGACACATTCACATCCATCAACAACAGAATCAAAAGATCCTTCTTCCAACAAATTTGCTTCAAACAAATGAAGTCTTTCCTTAGCCCCATCAAGTGAAACCAAGTGTTCTGTTTTCTTTGGATCATCTGTGTCATACATAATCATCACAACTCACATGAGATTTAAAAAAAAAAAAACGCACTTGTACTATTATTGTTTGTGTTTCCCAAATTGCTCAATTTTTTTTAAAACAAGTATGAAGAAAAGAGTAAAAGAGAACTAACTGAGATCACGAACAGAAGCTTTGATAGTGTAACCGCGTTGAAGCAAGAGCTTGACAAGGTATGAAGCAATGAAACCAGAAGCTCCAGTTACACACACCACTTTTTCTGACCCACTCATCTTTTTGGCAGCTTAGAAAGAAGCTTCGGTGAAGTTAGTTTTTGTTTTGTAAGTTGAGATTTGAGTAGATGTTGAAAAATGACTCCTGGTGATTTCAATAAATGTTGCAATTGATTGTTTTTCAAGTACTTGGCACTTGGGAAGTTCGCCAGAATAACTATAGTACGAAATAAAGTCAGTAAAATATTATTTTTTGTACATTTACACCAAATGATTCATTTAAATTTTATTTATTTTATTAATTTAAATTTTTAATTTTTAATTTCTATCATTAAAATTTTTTAAAAAATATCACATCTTAATTTAAATTAAAAATTTAAATATCAAAACGAACGGAATTTTAATTGCACAATAAAAAAAAATTAGACTGAATTATTCCAAAATATTTTATAATTTTTAATTTTTATAAAATTATAAAAATAAATAAACCAATCTATTTAAGTTATTTTTAAAAAGAGCTCCTTTGCAGTTGGCATATTATTCGGCAAAAAGAAGTACAAACAAGTACAAACGGGAAGAAAGCAACAACAATGTCCGGTTCTTTTCTTTTATTTTTTTTAATTATTTTTATTTTTAATTACTGTAACAAGTACAAACAGGAAGAAAACAACAAAAATTTAAGAAGGAATAGCAACTAATTAGAAAACAACCTTTCGCAACGGGCAGGTTAGCGAAGATGTTGAAGATGACAAAAAACAGAAAACGACATCAAAAGGAAAAAACGGTAGAAAAATCTAGAGGACAAATATATAAAAACTACAACAAAAGTAGATGCACATCAAACGATGAAATACCAAAATCAACAACAAAGTCAACATAATGCACAAAAAAAAAGAGAAAAAAAAAAGTAAAAAACATACAAAACGACAACAAAACAAATAGAAACGACGTAAAAAATAAGAATAATATAATTAGGAACACGAGAAAATGAAAATACAACAACAATATCCATAAATAAGTTTTAAACTGAAATTGAAATCATACCCACACATTAGACCATCCCAAGACGACAAAAAGAAAAAAAAACATTTGAGGACGACAACAACAAAGAAAAACGACATGTAGAGAAAAAAAACAGTAATTTCTTTTTTTTTTTAAGGGAAAAAAACAGTAATTTCAGGCTACCACATTAAGAACGTAAACGACAATGAATTCAAAGCTGACATCAATAGGAAAAATATATAACATCTGAAAAGCAACAACGATGGAAGAAGGACAAAACACGTAATTAAAATGACAACTAAAATTGGCAGTTATGAATTATAAGAAAGGACGACAAAGCAAAAATATAAAGTGTAAGTTGGTAACATGAGAAAACACCCACTATCCCATAAACGACACTACTCTAAAATGTCAAGAACTTAAAGACGATACCAGTTGAAAACACATTAACCCAAAACGACAACAGGAGACGAGATTGGGAAAGACATTCTAACTTCAAAAGACGATATAAACTAAAGGCTGGATAGTGTTTTTTTTTCTTTTTTTTTTTTTAAAAAAATCTGAACTTGAGAAAAGATGGATTTTTCAATATAGTTTGTATCGGTTAGCTACGAATTGGCAGCTACTGGTCTGACAATTATATTATATTGTCACACTTGACATAGGTTGCGGTGTCATTGTGACAGATGGGCTACTAATTTAATTTAGTAGTGCAAAAATATGTTACAAAGGGATAGAATATATGTTGTTAGGGTTAAAATCCGCACCACGATCACGTAGACAACATTTAGAAAAATATAGTCAACTCCAATTGACTGAAGTTAATTGGAGATCAGATCGACTCAAGACGATTGGAGAAGACTGACGATAGGATGAGTGTAGAGACCACCACCGATATTTAAGGAGAGAGATTCCTTAGAGGCGACAAGGATTATCTCAGCTAAATTCTATATTAAAGGGTCACATCGGATCAATAATAAAGAGGAAATATCCCAAGAAGCCAATATGAAAACAAGAAAAGGAAAAATCAACTAAGAAAAATAGAAACTATCTAATCCAAGAGAAAAGGAAAATAGAAGACCTTCTCCTTAAGGGATGGAGATCGTGAATTAGACATCTTAGAACCCTCACATCACGGCTAGACTCTCTCTCTAAAACTCCTCATTCTTCTACAATTCTCACAGAAGCATTGTAATTGTACTATTTTCATTATATAGTGAAACCCTCAAGACCCCATAGTGGACGTATCTTGAAATTATCAGTGGAACCACTATAAATTCGTGTGTTCATTTATTTTTTCACACTTTACGTCATTCAAGCACTATATCGACTTATCATCGTGATCGCCACCTGAGAGACCATTAGTCCGCTAAATAAATTTAATTGTAGAATACGACCTATGTATATTTCAAAGAAATTATTTACAAATACCAATGTTATTAAAAAAATAACTCTGCTAGACAATTGTGATTCATGATTCTCGTGTTTTTATTTTTATTTTTATTAGATTCAGAATTTAATTTCAGTACTGTACAAAAAAAAATTATGTACTAAAATAAAAGGTAAACTTCTAATATGTCTATTAATAGAATTTTATTAAGTAAGAAGCAAGGCTTTCAACTGCCTTGCTTGGATTTAATTTTACTTGGCTCCCTAGTAATTTATCAACTGATGCCATTTTTTCTTGATATGTTTATTATTATTATTATTATTTATTCTTTAAATACACTAGACTCCGAAAGCCCCCTGCTTACATACGACATATCGTTTCACATATTTAATACAAGATATCGTTTTCATAATTTCAGTTTTTCTTTTACATTTCGTTTCTCCTTGGGACCATGTTGTGCTTGTTTCTATACGATGGTTTCCCTTTTTATTTTCTTAATCATACACACACACAGGTCGTTTCTTTTGCTGCAATGGAAAGAGTAAAGAACCTGCAAGATTTATATTAGGGAAATTGGGCCGGTGGCTTTTTTAACCACCTCTTTTTTATAAATGGTCGAATATTTTTATTTTATAAAAATGACTGTTTTATTTACAAGAGTCAATTAGTTGTTGATTTGTAGACCACATTAAATCAGTACTCTTGATAAACAGTCAATGAGTGATTAACCGATTCATTATTGATTTATTAATTGTTCACCATTAATAAACATGTATTTGTTAATTAAAATTGATTAATTATAAATTAATTTTAGTTAATTATTTATTAATTAATGTTGATTAATAATAAAAAATAATCGAGTTAATCAGTGAAAAAATAGAGTCAATCAGTGATTAACCGCTAAGTCAATTAGTAATTAACCGCTGAGTCGATCAATGATTGAACACTAAGTTAATAAAAACGGTCATTTTTATAATTTTGTAAAATTTCGGCCATTTATTAAAAATGTCCTTCAAAAAGGCTATTTGTCCTGAAATCTCTTTATATTACAACAATAAACTGACATATGAGCTAGCTAGTTAGAGTGGAGAAATTTGAATCGCCGCACTGATAACCACTCTTAACCAATTAACAAATTACAATATAAGGTCGGAGCAAGTGGAACAGAAAGGATACAAATGCTTCATTTCGGAAAAACTTTCATTCATCACAAGTCACACTAAATCTATAAAGATAATACAATCACAATTAAAAGTTGAGAAAACCCTTCCTCTTCAGACTTTCAACAGTGTCCTTTAGACTCACTTCCAAAGGGGTAAAGTTAGGACACAAACTTTTTGCTTTCTCCTTTGATACTTGGTGTTTCGGCAGGAGAGGCTTGTCATCTTCACATCTACCAACAATAATCACATGTCATGATGTGGTCAGTAAATTTCAGAAGTGAGAAACATAAGCTGATATAGAATGAAAAAGTAGTTAAGGACGCCACTGGTGCTAAGCGCAACCATTAATAGAAGGCAAGTCACACTCGTGGGTTCCATTCCATGCTGCGGAATTCACCTTCTATTAGTCGCTCAGCAACATCGGTGCCATATAGTGTTGTTTGATAGAATAAGATATCTATGTGTGTGTATGCATATAAAAGCTCCATTTTATATATCTTTTACAAAAGATAACTTACTTTCCAGGAATGCTTAGAGTTGGGTAGAGTTGTTTTATAATGCCGAGGGCCTCAGAAATGTGCACAACATGTCCAACTAAACAATATCTTCCACTGGCTGAAGTAACTTCAAATGCTTGAATATGTGCTAATGCCACATCTCTAACATCAACATACATATTCACTTTATTGGGGAACGTTTGAGCCCCTGAAACCAAAAAGAAAATGAAAAATTACATAACACAAATACTATATGTGACTAATTTAATAGTTACTTCAAGACAAACTAATTAGTTGGTTCTTTATAGCTTGAGTTGCCTCAATTACAATAAAAAAGATATACCGTTTATGTGATTTAGAAGCATTTCCACCGTCAGATTAAGAGTTGGCTGTAACAAAGGGCCAATCACAAGTCCTGGATTTATTGCGACCAAGTCAATCCCGTTCTCTTTTGCAAATTCCCAAGCAGCCTCTTCAGCTAAGGTTTTTGACAGCATATACCAAAACTGTAAGAGAGAATACAGATGCAAATTATTCTTCTCCATAAAAGACACTGCTCAAAAGTTACCAAAGAATCAGTGCTTCGTTGACTCTGCGGAATTTGAGTAAGTATGGAAAGCATCCGATTTCCTAATCCAAAGACGACCCGAGTTTAATTCTCGTGATAAGAAAATGTTCACACAAACATGGGAAGGCAGTTTTAATTTCGCCAAACGAATTATGAAACCGAAAATCTCTAGAAATTCAAAGAAAACCAGGGTAAATAATAAACTTACAAATAGATAAACAGAACTTAGGTTAAACACATAATTGCACACCTTTGATTTCTCACAGAAAACAGGATCTGAAAACCATGTCTCATCAACAACCACATCTGGCGTCAGAGCTTTCCCATTGTACGAAACCGAAGCCACGGAAGATGTTAAAACCACCCTCCTCAGAGAAGCAACATTTGTGCATGACCTCAAAACGTTTAGTGTTCCCTTCACTGCAGGGTCAATCAATTCTGCCTGAAATACAGATACATACACATGCACACATATACAGTCTTTATAAATTGATCAGTGATACATATTATCCAATTACTTACAGGCATTGACATTAGAAGGACTAACCTGTGGATCAGTGGGAGAGAGATTCACAGGGGAAGCAGTATGAAAAACACATTCACATCCATCAACAACAGCATCAAAGGATCCTTCTTCCAATAAATCTGCTTTATACAAATGAAGCCTTTCCTTGGCCCCCTCAAGGGAAACCAAGTGTTCCGTTTTCTTTGGATTGTCTGTGCCACAACATCAACAAACACAAATAAGACTTTTTTCAAATGGCAGAGAACTCAGACATGTCACACACATACATGATACACACACACATTCTGCTAGGAGATGGTAATATTTGTGGTGAAGTTCCAAAAGTCACAAGTTGGAAACCTAAAAGGAAGTGACAAGTGTATACTCCAAGTGTATGCAATTACGTACAAATCTTCGCAAAAAGCAAGGGCCCGTTTAGTTCACTGATTCGAGTTTTTAATTTGAGTTGAGATGCGATTTTATGTGAGAGCTTCTTACTGTAGCAAAAAAGTTAAATGTGACTTTCTGAGAGTTTTTTACTGTAGCAAAACTCGAATTGGTAAAATGAACGTTGCCCAAGATTCTTATCCTTTTCAATTGTGTCTTTTAGAGTTTAAATCTGGGTCGTTGCCTTGCCATATTTAAATGTCTATTAGATAACAAATATGAGTATTGAAACAGTGTGTTTCAATAGATGTATGAGTTAAATTTAAAACACTGAGTCAAAATGGCATGATTGTTGGAACAAACATGAAATTGGCTATAAACAACATCAATGGCATCCAGAGTAATCGTAATTCTATAAAATTACTATTTGCAGAATTTTGTGAGTTTGTTATTTCTCAGAAAGAACAACGCTTAATAGCATCTTTTCTGTTTTTCATTTTTCTCTTCAACACATTCATACATACAAACAAACATACGTACGTACATACATACATACATAGATCAGCACATACGCACACTCATCTATGTAGGCTTTAACCAGTCGATTCCTAATACGATTTATTAGATCTAAGGACTTATTATGTGAAATTTTTTATTATTATTATTTTTTTTTAAAGAAAAAAAGGCAATAGAGAAAAAGCACTAACTTGAGTCACGAAGGGAGGCTTTGACAGTGTAGCCACGTTGAAGCAAGAGCTTGACCAGCCATGAAGCTATGTAACCTGAAGCTCCTGTTACACACACCACCTTCCCTTCTCCGCTAATTTTCAACTCTTTGTCGCTCATCAGGTTTGGCTTTTTTTTTTTTTTTTTTTTTTAATCAGAAGTACTTGAAGAAGGATGGAATAGATTATGTGGTTGTCAAGCAAGAATTTTTTTATTATTATTATTATTATTATTATTTATTATTATTATTATTATTATTTTCAGAGCCATTGACTTGATGATTAATTATATCATATTATCAAACTTTGCTTGGGCAATCGTGTCAGTGTGACTAGATGGGATACTTAAATATTGTGCTGAACATTAATTTAAGTGCACATGTATAACAACGTGACAGAATATTCTATTTTTTTTATTTATAATAATTTGCAAACGCCACTATTATTTGAAGGAAAAAAATAAAAAAATAAAAACTCTATCTTAGATGATCTATTTTTGTCCTCTAGAATTTTCTACCGTTTTTTTCTTTTTGATGTTGTTTTCTGTTTTTTGTCATCTTCAACATCTTCGCTAACCTGCCCGTTGCGAAAGGTTGTTTTCTAATTAGTTGCTATTCCTTCTTAAATTTTTGTTGTTTTCTTCCTGTTTGTACTTGTTACGGCAATTAAAAATAAAAATAATTAAAAAAAAAGAAAGAAAGAAAGAACCGGCCATTGTTGTTGCTTTCTTCTACTTGTTTGTACTTCTACGTATTTGTTTTTTTCTTTTTAGAATCTTGAGTCTTGCTGAACCTTGATTCACATTCACATTCTACGGGCCCTGTAGATGTAAATATGCACATTAAACTGTGATTAATTTTTGATGTTCTTTATGTTTCTACATTATTATTATTATTAATATTTTTTGTTTGATTACTTTGACATTTTTACACATAATTATTATAGTTAATCGTCAGTGGTATAAAAAATATTAAAACACTCTCCGAAACACTTGCATAAAAAACACACCTTACACTAACTTTTTTTTTGGATTTAATACCGCAAATTTATAACGAAAATGTAGAATTCTCTAGAAAATTTATCTTTTTACTTTGCTCACTTATGACAACAATATGTTTATTTACTAATGCCGTTTTTCTTTTTTTTTTCTTTCTTTTTCTTTTTTAATATGACCATGATTATGAAATGAAACTGTCTTTTTAAACTTAAGGCATGTTTTTTTACAAAAATCAAATAATATTGGGCCTAACTCAATCTAACAAAACTGATTTATTATGGGAGAATTGCCCTCACCTTATTAAGTAGATTATGCCAATATCTTCAGCCAATGTGGGATTCTAATACGCCCCCTCACGCACAACGTGGACCATGCCTGTAATGACTGAGAAAATTCTAGACTTTAAATAATACAATTTATTTATTTAAGCCAAGGATTTTCCTAGAAAATATTATGTGACTGAAGGATTTATGGAATCAATATATGTATTCCTAAATTCTGTAGCAGATTTCATGTTAAGTTCATGTTTTCGATCAAGTAAATTCGATCGATAAATTCTTGCCGTACTTTAAGGCGGAATAATTTTCAGTACAAGTATAGTTTGAGAATCTTAATTTCAAGAATCTCCAAACACAGCATGATGTTAGCAGCGTAAAAAAAAAA